AAGGGGGAGCCTGAGTCTGTGCGGAGTCCATACCAACCTGAGGAGGTGGACCCTATCCTTTCTGTGTCTTCTCTTCTTCTTCGTTCTCTCCCCTGCCAGTCATATGCAGCGGCCTCGTACTGCTCTTGGGCCTCGTTCTGTACATACTCAGCGAGCTCCTTCTGGGCTCATCTGGCTTCTGCTCATCTGGCCTCATTTTGCTGCTGCTGCTGCATGGCGTCATTATAGTTGAATGGAACCGTGAGGTCCCAGTCCGGGAATACCTGCCGTATAATCCTGTCTCAAGCGATTCTTCCTCGTGCACTTGCAGTCCTGACTTCTGGCTCGCTACCAACATGGAGATGTCGATAGGGGTCCCTGGCTGTGGAGATCGCAATTTCGATGTTAGCGTAGTTGGAGTGGATGGTTCTTCCATGCGGGTCCTCAATCCCCAACCTGCTGATGGACTGGCTGGAGCTGGAGTCAGGGGTGGTGGGGGAATCAGGGGAGTCGTGGGGGGGGTTGGAGTTCTGGCAGGATCTCGAAGCCATCCGAGGGGCATCAAGGGAGTCCCGAGCATGGTTTCCAATCCCTGAGAGAATTGGGGAGGTGAAATGCTCGGGGGTGGGGGCTGGTGGAACGACGTGGTCAGGGACCTCCTCAGGCTCCTGGGTGTTGTTTGTCATCCACGGGTTCTGGAATCCTGTGAGAACAGGGTTGCGGTTTCTACTGTGTCTTCGAGAGGGGTACTGGAGTCCTTCTTCCTCATGAAGGCTCCCCAGATTTGAGTCGTCAATCCTGGTTTCTGATACGGGTCACTCTTGCGACTGGAAGGTTGTTCTGATGGAGGTGGGGATGTCATGAAATGGGAGGTCAGGGGTTATGTTTCATAGTATATGCTGGATTTGCTGAAACACTTGATAGTGCCTGACTATCCAAGCTGCTACTGATTGTCATCCACAGCAGAGGGTGATGATGGCGAGAAGTCCGAATAAGATTCTGATAATGGAAGCAATAAGCTCAAAGAAATCGTGGTTCAACTTGGCAGTTGTTACTGGGGGCATTCGGTTTCTCAGCACAATTGGGCTTGAGAAAGGGAAGGAAGAAGCTTCGAGCTAATTGTTAGGCTCAAGTGTCACATGGGCAGATACACGTGATAAGCAGATGTTTCTTTGCACTTCGAGAAATCACCTGGGTCCACTTATATGTATATCCATGAGTTGTGACCCAAGGTCAGACGTTTTGACTCAAGGTAGAATAGTATGTATAAACTTTAGCTCAAAGCTGGGGTGTACCAGCAAGAGCATTGGTCTTAAATACTATACAGGTAGTCCTAATTATATCGCTACTTATTATGTCTGTCTGTGTCTATGGTGCCTGTTGTCCTTGAGCACTGTTACCGCACATAAAAGGATAATTGTGCTATTGGACTCGATTGTCGTGATGACTTGGTAGGCGAGTTTGTTGTGCTGACTAAGCTCTTCCACCATTTTGTGCTTTCTGACTAGCATAAATAGGGGTAAAAAGGAAATGAAAAGAGGAAAAATAAGAAAAAATCATAACAGGAGGTTAGTGATATTGAGATGATGAATCCTAATCCAGCACAACAAGGCTAAGACTGAGCACCAAATCCCGGATGAAGCTTGGCTTCCAAAGACGAGCCACCTAATGATGTGATATCGGTTGTCAACAAGGACCACTTGATGAATTTGCTATAGAGGATGCACTGGTAAATTCAAAAAGGCCTTGGCGACATCACTTTTATATAGAGTGAAATCAGCATTGGGATGTTGTAATTTGGCATTGCAAAGAGCCTCACTGAATGGATGCATATCATCATATTTGACCTTTGCCTTGCTAGTGGGGATTCCTGCATTTAAACCAGAGGAAGTATGATCTGTTATGATACAGGATTTTCTGTTCTGCCAGACCATAAACATTGGTGATACTTTCATACCTGGCAGGAGTGTAAACCCATCTAGTAGTGGTGATAACCAACATCCAGCCATAACCTCATGATTATGAAATGCTCATATTTCATTGATATCTTGAGGATCATTGGCATAATTCTCAGTCTTGTCATGGAGAGAGTCTTTCTGTTCACCAAGATCAAGAGGCCAGAATCCATTGCGAAGACCATGAATGACTGAGGAGATAAAGAGTTCATTTGGATAAAAATGAAGAATATTCTCCAAGCAATTGACATTGAATGGTGTGTCAACTACAATAAAATCTGTTAAGGCATGTAGTGTAGCCTGCAAGGATGGATCATTGAGTAGATGTGAAGGAGGAGAAGATAGAGGATCAGCTGACTTGGTAGATTGAGCAGCAGGAGATGTAGGTATGGATGATGTAGAAGTATTCAACCAGATATAGCTCCACCTAAAATGTGGGCCAATATTTTGATCCTCGCATTTGCACTTTTGAGGCCTTAAAGATCTAGGCCCTGCTGCTGCTGCTATTATCTTTGCTGTTACCTCTTCCAAATCTAAGTCTCCTTTTTGATTGGAGGAGATTGGCACATTCGACAATATCTCTAGCTTAGTGTCCAGATCCACATTTGCTACAGGTACTATGCCTACAGCGATTAGCACATGGATCTTGGCAGAAACCCAGGTTCCAGTTTTTGCATGGAACTGTTGACCTTTTTGCAGCAGGGAGTGAAGCAGATGAAAATCATTTTGTGCCTGAAAAAGTCAAAGAAGAGTGAAAGACCTGGGTAAGAATAGAAATTTATAGTTCACTTTGGACATCCATATGAAAAGGGGACTTAACATATCGCAGCTGAACTTCTTCATCAATATGAATGGCAACCATAGAGTCATGAGGTGTAGCCCAAAAAACTTTGACCATATATTCTCAGTAAACTTTGAGTTCAGCCTCACAGTGCAGATAGAGAACCTGAACACCTCTAGCCTAGGTATCGTACACTCTGCACCAGTCAGATTCTGACCTGAGAGGCTTCTTGGCAGATGAAATATTTTTTCTGATAATAGCATATCCTGCCATAAGCTCTTTTGCCTTCTTGTTGTGATCATATCCTTGGTCCATTGAAGCAAAAAGTTTCAAAAAGTCAACATACTGGTCCTGAATAATGAGTCACCAGAATGGCTGAGTAATAGGTTCAGATAGAGACTGGGCTTGAAAAACTGCCATGAGATTGTCAAGTGACTTTTCAGTTGCATAAACTTGTCTGAGTCAGAACGACTCAGCAAGATGAGGATCTGAGATGCCAGTGGTGACAATGGATGCGAGGTGAGGTGCTTGGGCAAGGACCATCAGAGAAATAGAAGCTGTCTTTGGTGAGACAGTGTTGCTGAGACCCAGAATGCCAGCAAGAACTGTAGTGATGGAGCTCTGGGGATCATTCGTACTAGATGTCTGATAAATGAATTGAAGCTTTGAATGGAGCATTGCTCAAGTGGCTTCTTCAACTGCTCAAGATCTAGTTTTTTGATGCTGTTCAGCAGCAGCCTTGGATTTCTCGACTCGCTTTTGTCGAAACTCCTCAACCTCAGCCTGAGACAAGTCTGGTGGAGTGGCCTCCCTGTGGTCTGATGCACCAATATCCTCGTTGTCACCATCTTGAATGTTAGAGGAGGTAACGGTCGAACTTCATGGGCCAGCTTGCTTAATCCACTCCTGCAGAAGTCTGATGTAATCTCTGGTGGCCTCAGATGAAATGCCAAGCTGGTGAAGTCTGTCTGCAAAGTTAAGATCATTGACAGTGTCTCTGACACATTCCTCAACAAGGTCTTCACAACGTTTTGCCAAGGCAGTGACACATTCAACATTGGTCGATGGATTGGAGGTCATGAATGAGATCAATAGATTTGAGGGACGAATGTCAGAGACAAAAAACTCGATGACTTGTACAATAATAGTCCAGTAATACTGAATGAGGATTGGTTAAGTCTGGCAAAGCCAAGACAGGCAATAGGAGTTACTAACAGGTGAAGGAGGAGGTGAAGCCTTGAAGCCTGGGATTGATGGTCAGGAAAGATTGACAGTGAGAAAGCAGAGCTCATCTCACTTAGGGATACAGGATGAAAGTAGGAATGAAGAAGAGACACCTGATGCCAATGTCTCTCATGAATCAGCATCAGCCAAGACTCAGCACTGAGACAGAGACGGCACCAGCAATCCCTCTTCATGGATGAGTGGAGCTCTGTATCTCTGTGTCAACAGAGATTGTGACAATCTCGAGAGTCATGCAGAGACCTGTGAAAATGCTCTCTACCCTTGGAATCTGTCTTTACAATGGGACATCGAAGAGGTACCCATGCAACCACGTGATAGACAATAATGCAATATATGATATCAATTTCATGACTAAGCCATATGGCCCTTTCCGGCAGTTTCATTGCAATCTCCCCTTCACATCATGACCTCAATGCCTCTGAACTCAGCAGGTGTCATACTTGGGCACTTGACTCCTACACAAACAGGATAGATGGAACTTAATCATGGTCAGTCCCTGTACAAGGAATAATAGGGATTCTCATAAATTTTTTTTTTAGGCCTTCCAAGGTGAACCAACCACCCTCCGGCTGTACCGGGCCGACATTCCCGAGCACCCTTGGCTTTACCAAGAGAAGGCTCGTTTCCGAACACTACCATCGTCTCATCACAAAGGCAGAGTCCGGTATCACTTGACGAAGATGGAGAAAGAGTATGACGTTGAGCTTATGATGATAGGTCTAGTGGCCGGTTATTTAGTGCCATAGTGCACCATTCAGTATTGGAGCAGCAACGCCTCTCTGCTTGCAGTGTAATAACATGTTTTTAGCATCTGGATATGAGCTTCCACCTCACATCTGGAAAAATATCCGCGCCCATATCTCGCCTACAAGCGCAGAAGCTTGTCAAATTCCTCAGAGAATTCTCGCTGCAGAATGTGACCTCGTACGCTACCAAACGGAGCTCGCTCGGATACGTGCCACCCTGCAGAGGCTAGAAAGTCAGGAGGCCCAAGTCAAAAAATACATATCCGGATATCGCTGCTACCTTAATACGCCCTCCCCAGTCGACGATTCCCCACTGAAATTCTCCTTCTCATCTTCAAAGAAGTAGCATCCTCAGTAGCTGACCCGTTATTTTACGATGACTCTCAGCATATCTCTCGTTTGTTCCCGGTCGCAAAACATTGCACTTTCAGAGCCGTCAGTATGGAGAAATATATATGTGGGAGAGGGATGTTCTCCCGACATCAACACGGCGTTGGTGTACCTGTACAGCAAATGCTCTGTTAAAGGGCCCTTACGTGTCGCTGCGAACGTGACGGGAGAAGACGAGGGTTATCGATATGATCCTGCTCTATGGGCACAGATTAAGACGCTCGGATTTGGTGGAGGTTGTTCCAACTGTCCGTTTGATTGGGCAATAATGAGCGGCGGCACCGACGCTTCCAGAGATCCAATCCGTATTGACCACTTCTCCGCTCTTTCTTGCATCTCATGATCAGCGGCGATTTCCAAACCGATATACCTAACGTCGCTTCACCTAGTCCTCTGGCCAACCAATTTATACATGTTCGACGACCTCATACTTCCCTTCTTGGTGTCTCTGAAGATTTGGATGCACTCTGATCCTGAATTCGACGACGAAGATTGGGGGGGCCGATCTGGTTTCCATACTTCATAGATCAAAGTGTCCCACTAGAATGTTTCGAGTTGGTCACGTGCCAGAAATCTGTAATGGTTCCAACCCAGCTCGTGCTGGTTCTTCAAGCCATTTCGCCCCTCCGGTCTCTTAAAAATCTCTGAATCAGAAGATCCTTCTTCGACGCCGCTGATCACGAACGGGGTCCTACAAAGTCTGTCTTCGCCGTCGATCTTACCAAAGCATGGTGGTTGGTTGGTCCGACGCGTTGATCGCCATGCTGCGTTCGAGAATAACCGGCTTCGGCTGATGCAAAGTCGCTAAAATTCGTTACCTGGGTATCAGGAACGGTGAGGAGATGCCTGAAGATGCTGTGGTAGAGTGCTTGGATGAATGGATAGGAGAGGGTTGTCTTTCCCCTCTTCAAGTTGTTTGACAACGGTTTTCGGCGCATTGTCGTTTTAATGCAGGTTCTATGTGCGACTGGCACGTGTTGGGCCTTGAGACCATTTTGGACTACATATGTGTGCAATCCATCCCCAGTGTTTTCTTGTGAGTTGTTATGAAACATTAGCGGGGGATAATCCCTTAATCGAATATGCCTTGGACTTGGATTTGACCACGGAGCAGAGCGTCCTTGTGTAATTGAACCTCCTCCTTCTGACACTACGGGCTTCCGCTCACTATAGCCAAAGTAAACGAATTTCTTTCTTCACTTGCAAAGGCTAACGTGTGCTTTCTTAGAAGAGCTAGCCTTCCGAATGCGCAGAGCGGCCCTCACTACTTGTACCAAACATGGTGTTATTAGGATGGTGCTGATGGCGAAAGGCGGACGTCTATAATGACTGGAGTCATTCGTCTCGACAAGGGAGAGACTCGCCTAAACATGTTCTGGAAAACATGAAAAGCTCAAGAGGTACCCGAACTTCAGCGAGATATAAAACTGGCGTCAAACTCGAGCTGCTGCTGCAGTATTCTATTCCTGAATCATGACGCCGCTATTTAATTATCGTAATCTATTACAATATAGCCTTTTGTGTGTCTGCTTTCGCTCCGACTAAAACGCCATCGAGCGCGCTTCGACATATTCCATGAACTCTGGGGAGTACAGCTGCTTCAGCCTACATTTCGTCCTCGGCCCTAACGACAGCACGGCCCTGTTTATCTCTATAAAAAAGGACATCGCCTGTTTAGATGCATGATTAGTAGAATCAAAAAATCGGTTCCGGCTTATGGCTTACCTTCATCTTCAACGAACTGGCAGTCGTTATAGCTTTTCCATAGTGCTTGAAACACGGGCTCGTCTGACGAACGATAGTGCGGTCCTAAGAATGCCTTGAGATGCTGTGTAGCTTCGGGTCCATGGTAGAAGGGCATTTTGGGGAAGAACTATCGATGTCAGAGGTGTTAGGACGGATTAATACAGACAGGAGAAGAACACGTACGTGATGTACGACATGATAGTGCGCGACATCGTGTAGAAACCATCTACCCATCCACCCGAGGAATGGTCGGTCGATGGTCGCAGCAGCACCGCGAGAAAAGGTCCACTTTGTAGCGCGATAGTGCGGTAGGGTGGGGTCAGTGTGATGGAGGTAAGTTATCATGATAACTAGAGCAAAGAATTAACAGCTGAACGTGAAAATATAGAGAAGCGGGCACGTACACCAATGACTGACTTCAAACCACGGTATACCATAGAGCGCCATGACGTTCCACCATCCCCATTGACGCACAGCAGCGGTGAAGAGGACAATCATAGTCCCAATGCCAATGTTAGAGAGAATAACAGCGTTCCGCTGATCTGGCGTGAAGATTACAGAGGAGGGTGAGAAATGGTTCGTATTTGGTGGATAGTGTGGTTGACCCGATACGTTAAACACTGGGGGTGCACAAACTTAGCGTTGCAGCAGAGGAAGAAAGATACCCGATAACTTACTCAGATACGCCGGAAATGCGAGCAGCTGTTGCCGGATGAGCATCATTAGCGTCCAAATAGGCGTGTCGCCGAAGTAATCCTCCCAATCAATACCATGCTCCTCTTCTAACTCCTTTGAAGGTATCCCTAAAATCGCGCGTGTCTTGGGAACGTATACCTCATCGCGCTCCATGCTGGCATGGGTCATATGATGTCTATGATGGCCGATCTTCCAACTGAAGTAGGGGGTCCAGAGGAAGCTGTGAAGGATGAATCCGAGGCTGTCGTTCAACCACGTGTAGGGACTGAACGCGCCGTGGCCGCATTCGTGTCCGAGCACCCATATTCCGGTAAGTGTGAGACCTTGAAACCACCAGTACCCGACCCATGCAGCAGCGCGTACGAGGGGGTTGTAAACTTGAAATGGGTATGAGAGCTGGATAGAGGGGATGTAAAGAGCAAGGACGAAGAAGAATGCGGCCATGAATATATCACGTGCCAGGGTTGTTAGAGCGCGCGAAGTTGATATGATGAAAAATTTAGATGGAATGGCGTCCCGTATTTGCGATAGGGTATATGGAAGGGGCGTGAAGACGGGGAGCTCTGACTTGAGATGTTCAGAGTCAAGCTTTGACGCTACTGGCTTGGGGGAATCCATGTCGAAAGGAGGGAATGTGTACATGTTGGTTAGAAGAGGAACTCTTTTTATTCAGAGATGTCATGAGATATATGGGGAAGAGGTAGAAGTGAGATCATATTGGTCAGATCGCAAACAAAATCTTCCGAGGTAGAATTAGACAGAAATTGATCCAGTTTGAACAATCTGATGGGCATGAGGAATTTTTCAAAGGCAGCGGTAGCTGGGGTCTCCGGCCTGATCGGTTAGTAGGCCTCCGTTATCTTATCAGAATTTACTCACTCTGATGACCATAGCACACTATTGCGGCCGTTTTCTCAAAATCACCGACTGCCCGCCCCAAACTGCTCTGGGCGCCCGCGGTCTTTTCATGTTTCAAAAGAGCGGTTTCCCCGGGAAGGATATGATTTAGAGTGATGGATCCACCGTGAAGGCCCATGGAATGGAATAAGTATCTGGAAACCAGTGGTCCTTGTATAGCGAACGCTATATGTGGACTGTCTATTCGCTCACTCTTCGCCTTTGATGAACAGGGCTTTTATACCCACTCTGTGAATCTTTCCTGTTCGTCAGTGTGGGGTCGTAGACCCGCGGCTATGTTGTGCTGATCTTCACTGCTTGAGAACAGTTAAAGCTGAAATAAATCATAAAAAGGTATGGACAACGTACATGTATGGTGGCGCCGATTCTTTTAATGTGTCGCCACGCACTATAACTAAGCTGGCGGCAAATGAATTCCACTTGATGGATTATGAGAGAGAAGAAACAACACGATGATGAAATGAAACGGCCCAATATCTTGCCTCCAAAAGTATTCATTGCGGCTCTGGAAAGCGCTAAAACCATGTGCGCGCGGTTTTTATTGACTCTCCTGAAACTCTTTTCAAGGGTCGCCTAGACGATCGACGTTTGCGGGGCCCTGACTGAGCCTGTGTAGATTAGTACTGAATCGCAGAACTAAAACTAGTTGCATTACCCAGCGCTTGCTCAGGGACTGGGAATTAGTGGCGCCGCCGTTGTGCATGCGATACCCGACAAAATATATTAAATATGTTCTCGCTTGGAAGGTCTACAGAAAGGGTCACTAAATAGCTCCACCTTGTATACCCGGATGGACCCTGTGCCGAATCAATACCGCGGGGCATCTATAGGCTGTAGCAGACAGTCACGGGCGCTCACATCCTGACTTCAGTAACGAGACTAAAACAGTGGGAGTAACATTGCGTCGAAATTGAAGACTGCCCGGAGGTCCTGAGATCCTGGGCAGATATTGTGCCTACTTGACCTTGTGGAAATCGTATCCTTAACGTTAGCACCCTCAATCTTTCACCGCCACAAATGCCGCACTGCGGCACGAGGTTCCCGCCTGTTAGACGCGACATGGAAGAATCAGTAATAACGATGATCTCCCAAATAAGACCTTGACGGAAGCGATTGTTCGTTTAAACTTCTTCTTCTACACCGATATGCATGGGCCGTCGAGGTCAAAAATCTTGGATCAGAGAAATCTTTAATGTCGTATGGTTTGTGAGATGGCGAGCGGATCTGGACATATGGTCAACTGAAGTCAATGAAATGAAAGTGATGGCGGAGAATAGCGCGTATAGAGTGTTGACCGATATTCCGCTTGAGGCGAAAAAGATAGCCTTTTGCCCAAACGTTATCAAGATTAATGTGGAACATTAACTGAATGCGAGGTCCTATGACCGGACTGAATGGGGGGCAGTACAATTTGTCACTACTTGGCATGCACCCTCCGTGAACGTCTTAAGATTGAGCCAGTGGGGACCTTGCGTACCAACGTGAATCACGGAACCTAATAGCAGTTTGAATGACAGTTTGAGTAAGAAATGGTAATCTTGAAGTGATCATCAGGGGTGACAGTTCACGAAGTGTTCGGAGTGCAAGATCATGTCCAGGTACACTTACCGCCATGAAAAGGGCGTATGACGTCCAAGGTCCGGGGAAAACGATGGAAAAAATTCGGCCACATTATACGTGAAAAGGAGCCTCCTGTCACGGAACGAAGTCGGCGCACTGGTAAAATAAATCGAGTTGGATGTTCGTCATCTGTAAAGAGACCCGAGCCACCGAGTCAGCTGATTAGAACTAGACTACAGAGATGCCAACCCAAAGCTATAATTTCTCCTTCTCGTTAGGTCTTTAATTGTCCCCATCACTGACGCGATCAATATGCGGTTCCGCTCCGACACGGAACTGTAAGTCGCCATGAGCGCTTACATCCTTCGTCCGAGAACCGTATATTCCGATTACACGGTAAGCAATGGGTGCTAGCAATGAACATACCGGCCCCATCTCGTCTACCGTCGCTTTGAAGTTTCTCTCGTACCTTTCTAAGAATAACCAAGCATTGAAACGATATCAAAATCCCGGAAAACAGACTTGGCAACTTCCGCTCCCATGACCATGCTGTTATCCAAAATAGCAGGGAGGGATCAAGGATAAGACGAACGTAAAGCTCTGGAGCGCCAAGAGGAATCTACGCACTCCGAATACCTTCGAGGTCGACGGAACGCGAGATTGGCGTTGTTGGAAGTTCGAAGACAAGGAACGAAGTCGCACTGAGTGATGACTTCGGAGTCCGGTTCCGCTCCGCCTGAACGGTCCGTTTCCGCCCGCGGGCATTTTTCTTTCTGTCATGTCCTGAAGCGGGCGCGGTCATTCCTCGCAACATACCAGGCGCCGTTCATCCTAGAACTTTAACAAGCCTCAAAATGTCAAGGAGGTCTCTTCGGACCTTTGTTTTCAACTCTGGTTTTTCGGCTCCCGAGATCCCCCTTTCTTCAGGTTTTGGGGTAATGGTTTCATGCAGGCAAGCGAGCGCCAGTTATATCGATGAACACCCTTCTTTCAGCAGATTCTTCTGTGACGAGAAAGCCTTATCTGATATTTTTGTACGTGTACAAGATGGTGGAACCTGTGCCAATCTTTACCATCAATCCGCATGGACCAACCAAACCTATAATCGATTGCCCGATTTACCGCCTGGAAAAACGTGTCGAAGACTAATGAATTTCTGCAAGTACTGTCATACTAGTTTCTATCATCGGTGTGGTCCATGAACCGTGATTACACTCGAGATGGTACGTTGATCTCTTCCCTCGCTCCCCGGCTAGTAGTCCGACTGGTCGTAGAATCACTTCTAGTTATATCTAGCCTTGTTCTAGTATCATCATGTGTTGATTCGAGAGCATAGTATGCTCATACCGCGAGTGTGTACGCATTTTGCTCATTTCCTTATCCGCAAACATTCCGAACGCAGACGCATCAAACTATAGAAAAGTGGACTTCTTTTCCTTTCTAAGACGGCTAAGCTTAAAAGGGAAATTAGGAGTTGCAAACCTGGTATCTAACTGTAAAACCCTAGGCTTCTGGTCTGCAGTCTTTTTCTGACATTCTGTATTGTTCTTGTCAGCTGAGTTCATCTCGAGGTCCTGACTGTCGTTATGCCTAGTCAGTTCTAAGGGTTGCATCTCCCGCGACGGACAGAATTCTGATTCCACAACGATCGTGCCGGCTGAAAACCTCGTGTGAAGCATTGATCGGTATCATAAGGGCACATCTTACCAGTCTTGGAACCGCGATTCTTATCACTGTCGGGGGGTCTACATCAGTTTCTTTAGAGATATCGGTTGCACGTGCGTCATCTCAGTATTTATTTTTCATCCTTCGCTTCTTCTCTGTTCTGATCATCGAGAACACCTGCCACGCTAAAACTAACTTACCTTGGACGTTGGTTTTACAGGGCGACTGTCTGAACGACAAGGCTGTATGTCATGTGTATCATTTTAACAAATAGTCACTCTGATGCTGTGCTTTCAATCACAGTGCTCCGCACGGTACGTCTACCTGATGACTTTGATGCCGGAATGATCTAACTGAGAAAAACTCACCCTTTCCGATATTCTTCTTCACTCGTGTTCTGCAACGATATTCTATGTTCAAGCACGATCACGTTATTATATACGCGCGTTGAGCTGCTGGAGGGGTTCCTGACGCTGGCAAGTGGCTCCTGATCGTGATCGCTATGATCACTGCTCGATCAACTTCCTTCTTTTTCCGCTGGCTGTCAGACCGAGCAGCAAGTCATGCTTTGAAATGGTTAACGGGCTGTGCGAAATCTGTTTCACCCTGATGTTACGATGCTTTGTAGAGATGTTACATGCGAATAAGTAGCTATCGAGTCCGAGGGCATCCCGTTCCATTTTCGAAGACTGTTCAATGCAGTTGACCTTCTGTGAACGTCAATATTTTTTTCCCGTGGTCTTTATAAAGCTTTCTGATTTATGTTATAGGTACCAGGTAGCCCTAAACCACCGCGGACATTGTGGAGGCCCGCCAGGTGTTCTCCACGGTGCCTCACTTTAAGCCTCCGTTTCTCATTTACTAGTATGATCACGATCGATCGGTGACTGGGGGATAACAAATGTATTTGACAAGAATAGAGACGTGGTTTCAAGTGAGTCGATTCGAAAGGTTCCTGTTCAGTTTTCTGATACATGCATTTCATCCAAGTAGCACAAGAGTGGCAATTGAGCAATCAGAGTGGCAGAAACTCAAATAAGATCGATTCTCCCACAATCACCACTCGTGAATGATTCGCGGCATGGAGAGCTGATCATAAAGGCCTATTTTATAGATTAGCACCAGATGTCGGCAGAAGTGGTTCGAATTACTGAAATGTTGCCTTTTTAGTAGATGCCGGGGACCGCAACACGCTGCACTGTACCGAAAAGTTGCTCATGTATTATTCATAAATCAGCGTCGACTAGATAGTACGGTCACAGTACTTCTACATTAAAACTACCTTGTGCTCGGAGGGACCGCGATAATGACAATCCTCATTCAAAATAAGAAGGTTGAAGAACAAGCGAGTAGTACTGAATTCCTCTGTGGAAACTATCCTTCGAGCGAGACGATCAGCTTTAAGAAGTAATGATATGAACGAAGCACTAATTTTGTGCCCCGATTTTTGTACAGCGTGGTCGTTCAACCCATCGTACCTTTGGATCAATTCTATCTCGGCCCCAACCTGAAGGTATCCCTTCATCGTTACTCTCTAGCCTTGAAACCCGAGCCCATCAGGAGACACTTCTACGAAGAAGTTCACGGTAGTCGGCAGACGGGGCAGAAAATGATAGCTTTTTGATGTTCAATGACAGCCAAGCTTCGTGCAATTGCGATTCTCTTGAGGGCCCGAACTGAACGAGTTCCTCCCTACCTCGGAACAGGGAAAGGAAGGATACGTGTCATGGTCTAAACGGTCTCCTGAGGGACTTGAAGAAAGACGGTATGTGTACTGCTGCGACAGTCAATCCAGGAAGCAATCAACATCCTGCGCGGACACCTTCCCCCGCTAGGGAAAAAAGGGTACCTGAAACGTGGCAGTGTAGGTAAGAATATTTTGGAATTATTTCTGTGGCAAATGACACTTTCCCAGATATTAGGATGCCGTCACTCCCATGATACGGAGAGAGAGGATGTTATGGGCTCCGAATTGAACAAATCCGATCTATCCGAACCATTAGTATGTTTGTACCTTGTATCGGGATGGTGATATTCAATCTATACAGTTCGGTGTAGCTGCATACCAGGACACCTTCAATCTAAAGTCTCGTACCTCAATTTCCACGTCGCGGTTTCTTGGTTAGGTCGGATTGCGAGAAGCGCCGCGGGAGTGTTAATGTTTGATGGAGCATACCGTATCCGATCATTTCTTTCCCTTTTTGTTTTCCAGGAAGCCTCCGAACTGAGTTTGAAGTGAGTCCCTTGCAGGGCATGAATGGGACTTCTCTTCGCTCGCTCGCCATGGCTGAGCAACATACATATTAGGCCCATGTAACTGTAATTGCTACGTCAGAGATCGTTGAATTGAAAGACACTTGGATCGAGTGGTGGTGAGTATGGGCCGCCGCCGCCACTGGAAGAGTTGATGCGATAAAGATAACTTATGAATCAATCTGAGTAAGTTGCATCACTTGTTGAATATCAAGAGAAAGGAAAAAAAAACAATCGGTTACTCAGGCTTTACGGAATAGACAAGCCGGATTATCACAGGGCCGACTTGGCGTGAATAAGCACCATACGGCAAACTTAGATTCTCAACGCTGGGAAAAGCACAGCTTTATGTGTCCGGGGTCTTCCGTGGCGCTCGGAATGCCTTTTGGGCAACTAACTATTTGGAGTACGATCACTTGCTGCTTGGCTTCCGACCATCACCACCCGTTAATGGATTTAAATACTTCCACAACTATGGCCTCACCCTCTGCCGTCGTCACTCGATATGTTTTCTGACAGCCCAGAATATATTCGACGTGCTAATACCCCCTTCATTCCTCCGACGATAACCATATCAGAACTGCACGTTGCTGTCCCACTGCATCTCTTCCGAAAATCAACGACAAAAGGGTTGGCCTACGTCTTTCAGGATGTCTTCTGTACATACCTTTTGTACTGCTTGACGCCATACGTCCCTCTTGCTCCTACCGTCCTTCGTTTTCCCCTCTGGGTAGCGTATTGGTGGTGCCAAGGAATTGTGCTTGCTGGCTGGTGGTGTCTCGCACACGAGGCAGGGCACGGGACCATATCGCAATACTCGTGGGTAAATCATATCGTCGGCTATATCCTTCACACAGCCATATTAGCACCCTACTATTCTTGGAGGGAGACTCACCGGAATCACCACAAGGCTACCATGAGCATCGAGCGAGACGAGAACTACGTACCTCGAACGCGCTCGGAGTACGGTCTCTGGGACGAGAAGGAGGACGAGCGGCTCGGTCTGCTACGCGATGAGGAGGGACTCCCAGGTCGCCGGAAAGGCTTGGACCCTCACGACGTGTTTGAGGACGCGCCGCTGTACGTCCTTTCGCGCATGCTCATCATGCAGGCCATTGGATGGCAAATATATCTCCTCACCGACTCCATGGGAAATCCGCGATATCCCCCGGGAACGAATGTTTGTCCAATATTAGCTTTTCTTCCAAGTCGTTCTGACGCCGCATGTAGCATTTCTCACCGTCTTCGGCTCTCTTTAAACCGCGTCATCGCCGACAAATCATCGCTTCGAATGTCGGGCTTTGTGTCGCTCTTGCTCTCCTCTTGTGGTGGGCTAGTCAGACTAGCCTAGCTCATGTAGGGCGGGTGTATGGCGTTCCATATATCCTCGCCAATCATTGGATCGTCATGCTCACTTACCTCCACCACTCCGACCCGACAATGCCGCATTATCGTTCTCAGACATGGAGCTTTGTACGCGGTGCGCTGGGGACCGTCGACAGACCGCTTCTTGGATGGGTAGGAAGGACATTTTTGCATAATGTCAGCCATGATCACGTATGTTCGATTCCATCAGAGACCTTTTCTGTTCCTGATCATTGTTCGCAGGTCGCACATCATCTCTTCTCTACAGTACCGTTCTACAACCAACCAGAAGTGACGAAGATTATTCGGCCACTTTTGGGAGATGCGTATAATTATGATAGCACCGTGAGCCCGCTCTGTTCCGTCGAGAAGCCTTTGCTGAGACTATTTTAGAACACTTTCCGAGCGCTTTATCGTACGTTCACACAGTGTTGCTTCATTGAAGACGAAGGCGATATCGTGTTCTACAAAAATAGAGATGGCAAGGCCGCGAGAGTTCTGGCTATTGAAGCCGTTCGGCCTTCGAAAATCTTCATATAACGGCTCTACTCCCTAGTTCATTTGACAACCTACGTACTATACCACGTCCTACTATTAGATGCTAATACCTGTCTTTTATGATATCCCGTTCTAGCCTCACGGTCCTCCGTGGCTTAGCTTTCGAGCAGGATCTACAATTCATCGGGGCTTTCTGGTACTGAAAATACAAATCCGCGGTTCCATGGTCCCTATGCGCTATACAATAATTTGTGACGATCCGAGGAAGCGAAATCCCGAGCAGGGTTGAGCATATGGAAGTTGCCCTTGAAAGAGGGAGCTCCGGGCAGGTCTGGACGGCATGGGCGTTTCGGGTTCCTGTGAGATCGTTCGGTTATACGGACCACTGGTATTCCTTCAAAAATAATTATCCTGAAAGATATAGCAGATTCCATAACCATCAAACTACATAAAAGTCACGAGCAGAAGTTCTCTGATTCGAGCTCAGACAATGATGATCACTAAAATATTCTATGCCAGAGTACCTCCGGGGTTGAGATTTAGCACTTTTGGGGTGTGGGAAGGGGTGAAGGGAGATTGGTCTAGGGTAGCGCACAAAGTCTAGGTTTCGATACACCGAGGTTAATTACCTCTAAGTTACCTCCCCTCGCCGGAGTGTTTTTCATTATCTGTCATGTGACTGCAAGTTAAGCGTAATAATTCATACAGCTGCATATATATTCCATTTACAAAGTACACACATTTACTGATGACTTAGAGAGAAAAACTGTAAAAAACATGAACACAAAAAAGGATCGCACTTGTCATGTGGTTCTGCACGTGATAGGTAAGTCCATTGTAAAGGCGGATTCCAAGGGTAGGGAGCGTTTTCGCAGGCCTCTGCGTGGCTCTCGAGGTTTTTACAATCTCTGTCGACACGGAGATATGGAGTCCATGAAAGGGGATCGCTGGTGCCATCTCTGTCTCAGTGCTGAGCCTCAGCTGAAGCTGATTCATGAGAGGCATCAGTGCCAGGTGTCTCTTCTTCACTCCACTTTCATCCTGCATCCCTAGATGAGATGAGCTCTGCTCTCTCACTGGCAATCATTTCTGACTGCCAATTCCAGGCTTCAAGGCTTTGCCTCCTCCTTTGCTTGTCAGTAACTCCTGTTGCCTGTCTTGGCTTCACCAGACCTAATCAATCCTCATTCAGTACTACTGCACCATTATTGTACAAGTTGTTGAGTTTTTTGTCCAGACATTCATCCCTCAAATCTATTGATCTCATTCATGACCTCCAACTCATTGACTGAGGTAAGTAATGATAAATTACCACCTCCCCCTTAGGGGTTGGTAAAAAAAAATGGTAACTTACCTTCTTGAAGTTTTGTGCACAATCCTAAGCAAAATTGAAATGCATTTAATTCTATATTTGTCTGCTTGTAGAAAAAACAACCACTGCATCAAACAATCAGTGGATCCTCTTGGATTTGAACCAAGATTGAAAATCAATCAAGTGATGTGGTTATGATTGTGCCAAAGGACCCTTACACTGGATGAAAGTTAATTATGTTTACCCACAAATACATAGAAAATATGCAAAAACTTTTTATAGTTTTTTCACCAAAATACAGTGAAAAGTTATCAATATTTATATCATTTTTTCTGCAAAAATACATAAATTTTAGTACAGTGTTGCTGACTGTCATGCATATACAATAGAATAAGACTTGTCTATCAAAAGACACAATCTACATTTTATTGAGTCATTGTTTATTTAATGCAGCAACCACCAGTATAGAGAAATCTTTTTAAAGAAGAAAAAGTGGTATTTCTGTGCCTGTGTTGAAAAGCCCAACACTCATCATTTTTTGCTTGTCTGGCATAGGCCTTCTGGCATGAATCAAATGGGGTGACTCTTACTGAATCATGGTTTCTAGGGAAAATCTCATTGATTCAGAGTCCAGAAACCCCATAGTAATAACACTGCTCTGAGTCTCAGTAATATGTCCAGTGGGAAAATACTATCATGGAAGGGAGATATACTCAAGCCATGGGACAAATTATTCTGTTGGTAAAGCCTTGGCCTAGTCCTAATTCTCTGACCCAAATGTACCACAAAAACAGAGGTGGATGACAACAGAAGTGATGATCACTTTTCACTCAACCAAAGTCAATCATTAATACGCTAGATTTGTGCACTAAGACCTAGGTTTTAATATCAGAGTTTCAGACCAGTCAGTTGCTGGTACACTGAAGATGCTACACCACTTTAAGTCAATAAAAACCATGTCTTCCATAACACTATTGACTCACTGGGATTTGAACCGAGATCAAGACATGACGGCTTCAGTTAAGCCTAAGAGTCCTTTCCGAGAAATACAAGGATCACGGATTTATCTGAAGACATGAATGGCCACGACGATTGACGGCACAGTTTGATTTGGGAAGAAAGCTCTTTTGTCTTGACCTCAATGTCCTTACAGCGACCTCGCGCGTAACGCCTCGAGCTCAAAAGTATCCAGAATATTAGACAGGTGATGAATCTCCTTAATTTGAAAATCACTGGGATTAGTTGTTATGAGAAAGACATGGCATCTGTAGAGGTAAAGAGCACGTACAGTGTGTATACGAGATCTTTCATACATAATCGTCTCGGCCGCTCCGGGTCTTCTACAGATCCGCAAAGACATCGTATCTGTGAAAACAAACAAAGCTGCTTCAAACTCAATGGTCCCGTCTCCTAGAATCTTCGCCCGTTTCTTCTCGTACTTCTCCGCCTCGCACAAAGGAATGGCAGCAAAGGAGTAAACATATCAGGCGAATTAGTACGACATTATCCTGACCGCGCATGCAGAGGAGGTTCGAGAACCATGGTTAGAGACAGCCGTCACGGTCTAAGGGGGACAGAGTAGAACTGACAGTTTGTCAGGCTTGGCATCGATACGAGAATATTGAAGTGTACCCAGCGGAATGTTATAGCCGTTTGCATAAGTATAGGTTGATAGTCCATGATGGTTTTGTGAATAAGAGAAGAAGCATCGGACTTCATTATAGACCGACGTTTGGAGACTTTGAAGGCAAAGTCACTCCGAGATCCCCGAAATAGCTTTAAACCGCCATGAACTCCTGTCAAAATGTGGGCCAACAGGTAGACTTTAGGCCAGGGGATCATGGGTATATGCATCTGGTAATCAGCGGTAAGAAGTATTCGGGGGAGTGGGGTAACGATGGCTCGTAGTTCAGCCTGTTAAAAGTGAGCGACTAGGGCCATCATAGGGTGATATCAGGTCCTACCTGCGAGATGGATATGAGAGAGCGGGGTATCGAGCGCGTTGTGGGTATAAACAGAAGATCCTTCCTCAACGGACAGGATTCGATGTCTCGTCCGAACCACGGACCTATTCAATTGCACAGTAGGTGTCAATGAAGCGATGAGGAGAGGAATATATTGTGATACTCTGCTCTGCCAGTTTTCCTGTTTCTACTCTGAGATTCGCTACTTGCAGAAAGAAGAGGTGACACACCCGTTCCCAGGTCCTTTAACGCTTGACATCGCGGGAAGATTGGTTCTTGCGTTGGTATAACGAGAGGTCGGAGCAAGCCGATGAGCTGCAGCTCGTAATATTTTGCTATATGTCCCTCATATCTGCCATGGCACGCCAAATGATGTTACTATCAGCACGGTGCATGATGGTGGAAAAAAGGAAGTGCGATCGGTGGCTGTGCGCCGGGAATACCCCTTCACTTGATACTTACATTACCAGTAACGGTTACATCTATTGAACGACCTGTCTTTATAACAGATCGTATGAGTCAGGTTTTACGGGACTAACCAGCAGTTAATGTCAGCTTTGTGCACGCTGTTTGTCGGGTATAGTACGCGCTTCCGAGCACACTAGCAGGCTGGAAGACTGCATCCAGAGTACAGATCTTAATAAACTCAGGACTTCGGGCGTTGTATGTGTGCTTCTTTCATTTTCTCAAGGACTCACTAAACAGAAAGTTTTGATTTCGGACATTGAAGCTTTTCCGTTACTTGTAGGATTATAGGTTTTCTTGAATGTGATCTTGCAAAGGGATCAGCCATAGAGTGAGCTTGTACTATGCTGCGATTGTCCACCACCGCTTACACTTCGCGAGACGCAGATCCTCCTCGGATGTTAACCTCCGAATCTCGTTCCCTCCAAACGTATAGGCTACATCATTATAGGATATCAAGCATGCTGTCTGCTGGCACCATTCCGAAACCTGAAATCTCTCTAAGTACCAGTTTTCCTGGTGCCAACCATTCCTGTTCACCACTATGCCTACACATGCTTCATCAGCTATCTTCATTTCCTCCCCGCATCCCGGAGAACCAGGTGATACTCACGGCATCCTGGAGCAGCTAGAACCGGAAAAGCCAACTCAAGGAAGGGGGCTCGCACTGGTCCGTGAATTAGCCTTTCAGGCTCCTGATGGGTTAAGTATCTACATTCATGGATTGAAGGATAAGGGGATACAAATGTATGTTTATGCTCTTTCATATCGCCTTGCTAACTAAGGTTTAGATATAACGCTGTGTTATACCGGAAGATTCTGAGCAGGCGAAGCCCTAGGACGTATTCCTTGCATTTCATGGAACATGCGGACCACGTTTATACGGGTCTGCGTGCTGAACTCGTGCGGACTATTGTGGGTTGGTGGGATTGTCCTCTGAAGGATAGACACCTGATGAGCATCTGGGTGGGACCAGAAGGAGACGTGAAGGCGAAATTATAACGTGCAGCGACATGCATGTAGTATGCGTGTCATAGGTCCTTTACTATGAATAGGTTCCGATGATGCTTACCGCGCCCTGAAGGTTTCATGAATAGAATGTAATTCTGCAGAAACGCAGCCGATACAGTCAGCGCCGAGCTACAAGAAACCGCGGTGTATACTCTCAAGTACCCAACCTATAACAGTCATTGGTTGGCACTTAGCCCTCTCGTTTTCGAACAGAAACAACAGGTTCGGGGGATACATTTTGCACATGGCGCCATATATGTCGCATACATTTTCTTTTAGTCTATTTGTACAGTCCACGTGAAGATAGAAAAGCTAAGATATCCAGTAAGTACGGTGGTAAAATAGGTTGGGGAAGAACACCCACTTTTCGAAATATTCACGTGTTTAAAACACACTTTGGGTCTTGGCAAAGACGGCAGCCTCGACTGGCCTCATACCTCTTCAGAGGATCCTCCACAGAAGGCATAATCTCAAAGTCCTCTGGATAAGAAAGTCGGCCGCGTCCCGCCGACGAATGCTTATCACCCATATGTTCGATCTACCGACGTGACAGTTAGCCATGCAGAAAAATAGAAGGACCAAGATACATACAAAGGAGCGCCATCCATACACGTTCCTAAACCCCCCATCGAAGCGACCCGCCCTCCGGCAAATCTTGCAGTGGTAATGCTGCTTCAGCGCAGCAATATCTCCCACAGTCGCAATTTCCGGGTACAACCGGATGGCCCGTATAAAAGTGGGCATGAAAGCCATCAACGTTTCGTGTCTGGACAGATACTCCGCTGTCCACACACACCTCTGTCCCGTACCCCGCAAATGCGAACAACATCGATGCTCCAACACCTCCGGGAAGAAAAGGGTACGCGAGGGGAAACATCCGTGGCATTTAAAGACGTTGCGAGCGAGTTGGAGTTGGGCGCGGGTCTGGTCCAATCCGAGGATCCGAACAAGCTCATCGCGTGTTTTCGCCGTCCATTGCTCGCGAAATACATTTACGATAAGCTTCAGTAGATGTTCGTCGACGTTGATCATGCCGGGAAGGTGGAGGATGACCTTGAGACGATCATAGGCCAGGAAGTCGATGATGGATGGGATTTTGGGGTAGAGGGATGGAAAGGGTCCATGAAAGATGGCAGTGGCGAGGGCGGTGCGAGTCTGGAGGAGCAAAGCCTGAGATTCGCGCTCGTCTTCTTCTTTAATCACACGTTTTGCTAGCTTCATGATATCAGCGAGGTTGGACCAGACTGTTGATCTCGTTCAGTATATGATACACTAGGAGGCGCGACCATACCTTGTTCTGTGAGATCTTGGCTTGTCTTGACAAGCGGGTGGTTTTGGAACTCGCGAGAGAATTTCGGAGAGTCAAATGCTGCTCCTAGTTTGGCTGCTTCAAGGTTCTTCTTGATGCTGAATGGCAATGTTAAGGGCGACGAACTTGATCAAGGATGTCAAGATACTTACACAGATGCCCTGTCCGTTTTCTTTTGTACCAGCCCTTGTTGGCGTTCCTTTGTCCTCATTTGAATCCATGTGGTTCCAATAGCTATGAACTAATTTGATATGAGTGACGATTTCGGGAACAATGGAGTGATGCAGGGATACGTACGTTAGTCACTTCCTTGACGTATTCCCGCCTTTCTTCGCAATAAGCGTCGATCTTGTCCTTCGAGAGAGAGAGATACTTCTCTTTGACAGCCTCGAATTCTTTTCGTACGCAATACACTTGGTCTGATATTGGTAGTCATTTGATAAGAAATTTCTCAGGTGATATGAAACTCACCGTACACCGATCGGGTGGGAATTAGCGTCATGATTAAGGTGGCCACATCTGTATCAGAACCTGTCAAAGGATCAGTCATAATCCTATCCCTGGCGTCAGCTCCACAGTATCCGGGGGAGGTATCGGACTCACTCTTCTCCAGCACAATTTCCACATATGCGAGTAAGAAGACAAAAATCAACATTGCGTACTATTCTCTCACAACAAAACTAAAAAACGCGTCAGAAAATCCAATGATCAGCGAACAACACCCGAATGACCCACGCTACATGTATTGAAGAACATCAGGTTCGCCCACGCCGGTTCGGAGAATCCTGAAACTGGATCAGGACAACCCACTGACTTACGCGCCGCTTTCCACATCGCCTTCGACGACGGGTCCATAAACAAGGAACGGAGGTCCTTGGACGATCGCGCGAGCCGTAACACGTCTCGAGGGCTCAGATAGCCGACGATCTGCATCGTCAGCGCCTATCCGCGACACGACGTGACGGGAGCTCACCTTAAGCCACAGCTCCGGGGAAATGGTCACAGTCCGTTGGAGCCGTCCGACGCGCAGTGTCCTGTGGAGACGATGAGATGCCATGAGTGCCAGTGGTGCATTTACAGTCGAAGGAGGGCTCTTATTATACGTGAAGACACGCGCTGCAAAGTAGGTGTTATCCCCATTGGAACCTAAACGGAGGCTCTCTTTTTGTCTAGTTGTTATGCAGGTCGTGTTTTTTGCTGTTTCTTTGTGCTGACGCCGCACACGTACCAGACTGCTGTCTGGTCAAGGCTGGGACATCATGCCGAGTTTTATTCCGCATTTCCAATATGTCAAGGTTTTAACGGCAGGAAGAGAATGGACATGTCCAAGCCTGGTAGACAAAACCGACCCTAGCACCCATTTCACAATGAAACGCGTCTCGTACACTTGAGGAGCGACTTGAATATGTCAGTGATAATGCCACTAGATTTTCTGCTGCACGACTACAGCCAGAGGGGAAGGACGCGACTTGGGTATTCCAAACTGAACGCTTTCGGCCAATCGGAGCCGGATTCCGGCAATCATCTATTCGGTCTCCGACGCTTTTGGTTCTGAAGTCTAGCCAGTGTATTCCATTCCAAATAGCGAGAACACACAGTCATTGTTTGCATAGTTTACGACATGCTGCTATACCGTCTTTATTGACAGAAGAATATATGTGAGTATCTATGAATGAGTGTAAGTATCATAGTCATAAGCACAGTAGGGATATATATACCTCAGTTGGGTACAACATGGGTGAAGTGACTGAGGCATACAGATAGGAATGGCTGGACTATATAGGTGATCAGGAAATGACAGGAGGTGTAAGTATATATAAGGCAAATAAAGCAAGTGATCAAAAAGTAAGATAAGATGAAATATACAGATATCCTCCAACACTCTCCTATATCCATTCAATCTACTGGGATAACATTGAGCATCTTGAGGTAACCATTGTGTGTGTCACAAGGCAAGAGCTTAGTGAACATATCTGCAGGGTTTGCATTTCCTCAAACAAACTCAACACATAATTCACCATCCTTTATGAGCTCCCTAATGAAATGCTCTCAAATGCAGATATGCTTGACTTTCTGATAGAACCATGTGTTTGTTGTTAATGCTACAGCATCCTGGTTGTCACCATACAATACACTGGGGCAAGGTTGAGGTAGTTGGACCTCATCCATCCAAGACAATATCCACATTATCTGTTGTGTCACATGAGTAAGAGAAATGTATTCAGCCTCAACAGTGGACAGGGCGATGGTAGCCTGATGCTTTGAGCTCCAGCAAATCAGACCATCTGCCATGGTGAAGATATAGCTGGACATCAAACAAGTTGTATTCCTATAACTCTCATAGTCTGTATTTACAAATCCAACAGGTGTTAGCAGCTGCTCATGTGAGAAGGAGATACCAAGGTCTATTGTCCTCTTTATGTACCCAAGGACATGTATTAATGCTTTCCAGTGCTCTATCCCTGGGTTAGACTAGAAGTGAGTGAGCAGGCTCATAGGGAAGCACAAGTCAGGATGAGTTGCAAGCTGTCTCCATATAACATGGCTTAGCAGTCATTGGTATGAGAATCTTTCCATAGCGTCCTTTTCTGTTTGGGTATTCAGAGACTGTGATATGTTGAGTATGATTCTGACAGGTAGAGGGGTGGTCCATGATCATATGTATCTAAGATTGAAGTCCAAAAATACATTCTCCCAATATAGATGCTGCGAAAAGGTGATGGTGCCAGCCTTAAGATCTTGTTCAATCTTCATCCTCAGAAAGTAATGGTTCTCTCCCATATCAGTGAGCTCCCATTTCTCCTTTAATTCCTTCTTCTGTCAGCTTGCCTTCTCTGTAGTCAATGATACTTCCCACATGTCATCAGTGTAAGTATCTGTGATGGTATACTCATCTCTAGGCTTGCCAATGGTGTATACGTATGGGTCTGCCTTTGATGCATGGTATCCAAGGTCTTCATAGGTTTTTCCAAGTGTCTCGAACCAATCATGGCCACTCTGTATAGTCTCATAAATAGTATGGATAAGTTTGCACACCTTATCCTCTTGTTCTTCAACTATGTATCCTAAGGGCTGATGCATATAGATATCTTCTTTTGTCTCACTATTCAAGTATGCTGAAATGAAGTCCACTTGCTATAGGACAAGATCAAGCTTTGCTGCAACAGCAGCTGACATCCATACAGATTTGAGATGGGTCACCACAGCCTAAGTGTTAAGCCCAAACTCCATATGACTATTAACACGTGATAAACAGTTCAGAACCTTGCACTTTGGGTTAGACTGACTGAGTTCACTGATGTGTTAACAGAGGTGTGTGGTCAAAGCATTTGCAAGTCACTTGAGATAGGATGGTAGAGAATAAACTTTAGCTTGAAGCTGGGGTATTACAGTGAGAGCTACACTACTTAAATACTGTTCTGTTATCATGCTATAAATAAATGTTCACAAAAGATATTGTCTGTCATAGAGCTGTTACTCCTGCTGTTGCCAGGCTCTCCACAAAAGCTGTTGTCTTGCTGTTGTGCTGTTGTCATTGCACTGCAAGTTGAAGACAAAAGGGGTACTGTCTCTCCCTTCACAGCACACAGCAATGCAATAGGAGAGTGACTGACTGGGTTGCTGAGCTAAGCATTTCCATAGTCTTAAGCACTGGCCTAAGCACCCTGACTAAGCAAAGATG